CTTGGCATTGGGTGACACCATCCTCCATGTTCATTTGGGAAAACTGAGGTTGAGATGATAAGGCCCAAATTTTCAAAAGTCAGCCCTGATTTTAAAGGTACCTCTACACTGCAATCAGGAGGTGTGGTTGCAGCATGTGTAGCTAGATTTGATCAAGATCTGCCTACCCAGGACTCTGAGTCCATATTTGAGCGGCCACCCTCCATGCTGCCATGGCTTCACTGCTATTGTTATCCAAGCTAGCTTTGATCTAGCTCAATCAAAACTGGCTCGGGTATGTCTACACGGGCGGCAATCACACCTCCCAACTGCAGTGTAGACGTACCCATAGTATCAATTTCAAGCAGTATTGCCAATCTGAAGCATCCAAAACTCATGAATCAGCCAACCCTCCACACCCCAAAAAATCACTGGACTGGCTTAAAAATCAGGAGATTTAACAAATAATACAGTTGGAATTAAATCCTGGTCCCATTCCCATTGACTTCAATTGAGAGTCTTTTTCATTTGCCATCCGGCTTTTGAACCATTTGGTTTCATGGTTTTAAGCTTTTCCCTGTGACCATGAGGACTAGAATCTTACTTTTCTTATCAAACAAAAGCTGAGATTCTGTTGTAGTCACACCAGATTCTATTGCTTTAAAAAATACAACACAATATTGCAAGACTCATGATCAAACTGAGAGGCCACCCTGACTGAACACCCAGTGATTTCAATGATTGCTGTGAATTCTCAGCTAATCAGAACATTGGACAGGTTCTATTCAGGTGCCTAACTTGAGGCTTCTGAATTTGAACGTGTTGGCCAATACCTCATCTCCCTTCTCCCATTCAACTTTTTCATCAATGATCTGGAAGTAAATGTAAAATCCCGGCTGAAAAAATGGGCGTATGATTGGCTGAGTGGTGAACAACGATGAGAACAAGGCAGGGCAGTCAGACAGACTGATTATACCGCTTGGTAATCTGACCCCATTCACCAAAATGCATTTTAATGCATACAGCCAAATGCAAAGTTATCATCTAAGCACAAGGAAGGCAGGCTGTACCTACAGAATTGGAGGGGCGGGGGGACACTGTCCTGGAAAGCAGTGACTCTGACAAGGATTTAAGAGTCACAGTGGACCAGCAACTTAACATGAGCTTTCAGTGCGATGCTTTGGCAAAAGGCTAATGCGATCCTTGGATGTATAAACAGGGGACTAGGCAGAAGGAGTAGGGAGGTGGTTTTACCTCTGTATATGGCACTGGGGAGACTGATACTGGAACCCTGCTACAGTTCTGGTGTCCACATATTTTAAAAGGACGTGGAAAAGCTAGAGAGGGTGAGAGAGATGGACATGGAGAAGCTAGAGAGGGTGCAGAAATGATCTGAAGGCTGGAGAAAATGCCTGAGAGTGAGAGACTTAAATAGTTTATCAAGATGAAGAGTGAGAGGTGACTTGCTTACGGTGTATAAACACCTTCATGGGAAGAAAATAGCAGGTAATAAAGGGCTCTTTAATTTAGCAGAGAAAGGCAGAACAAGACCCAATGGCTGGAAGTTGAAGCCAGACAAATTCAAAGGTGAAATAAAGCACCATTTTTTAACAGTGAGGATGGCTAATCACTGGAATAAACTACATAGGGAAGTGGTGAATTCTCCATCTCCTGATGTCTTCAGATCCAGACTGGATGTCTTTCTGGAAGAGACGTATTAGCCAAACAGAAGTTATTAGGCTCAATACAGGGGTAACTGGGTGAAATTGAATGGGCTGTGTGGTACAGAAGGTCAGACCCAATGATCTACAGACCCTTCTGGCCTTTAACTCCATGAATCTATGAATATACCAGGGACATTTTCTGAGCCAAGCCTAATGTCTACATGGAGGTACTGTCGTCCTGTGTAATTTGACTGACAAAGTGCTGCAATGTTATCTAGCTCATTTGATCTCTGGAAGGGTTTGGCTAGAAACCATAGGTGAATTTGCAATGAGGCTCTTAAGCTTTTCTCTGTTTCCCTTTAACACTGAGGCAGAGGACCTTATTCTGATACCCCAGGGCAAATGTAGAGCAGCAACATTTGCGTTAGTCGTGCCTACAGGACCCAACCGAGATCAGAGTCCCATTGTGCTAGGTGCTGTACATATATTACTCATGATGTACACCAGGGTGAGAGCAGAATCGGGCCTGTACAGCTCACCTCCATACCCCAATCTTCCCAAAATTCAGGGCTGCTCCAATCCGGGATTTTGGTTTGGCTCAGATGAGCCAGATGTGAGGGTTGGACCTAGAATTGAATTCCCCTGTAGATCAGAAGTGTTTGGACCAGCCCCCATCTCTTATGGGCACCCTTGTTTCTTACCGTGGCTGGGGTGAGCTGAGCTTCCCCATACCTCCTGCCACCCCTTGATGCCTTTCCTGGAAGGTAAATCCCTTCTCTCTGTCTGCCAAGAGGCGTGGTGCCTCCTTCTCTGCCTCCCCTGCACTCTGTCCTTTCTCTTGTCTTCTCCTCTCTCCTGGTGATCTCCAAACCCATATGGTCTCTTCCCTCCTCTCCTCATCCTAGCTGTCTCCACTCTCTCCCCCCCATTGTCCCATCGGCTCTTTCCCTTCCATTTCTCTGGTACCCAGTACATCACACTACTTTTACCTCCTTATCCCCTCCCTGTTAATGCTCTGTCTAATCCACCCATTTCCCCTGGACAGTCCCTTGCTACAGGGCAGGAATCAGTGGCCCAGATTAAATGCACTAGCAGCACCAAGCTGGGAGCTAGGTCATAGAGGGGTTCTTGAATTTTCATCCGCTGCCAAGCTCTTGCCCTCTCTGCATGTAAAAGAGCAAGAAGGAGCTCCTTCCTTTGTATTACACACTATGGAATGTAGCTTTAAAGCTGCGATCCACTAGCTCTGTCTATACCTGTCACAACATGCCCAGACACCAGGTTTATTAGGTTTCTTTCCAAAACCAATCCTGCTTTCCCTCTGCACTAATCCCTCAGTTCCTATTCTGTCCAGTAAGACATCACTGCTGGGTATATCCCTTCTCTCTAGCTGTCTCTATGGGGGAGCGGGTGAAATCCCCCTGTCTCTTTCATCCACTCGTCCCCATTTCTCTTAGGCCAGGGCACGGCACTCACCAGGGCACTTAGGGCCCTGCAATCACTGCTATGACATCAGCTCTCATTTCTTTCTCACACTTGGCAAACAATATGGGAATCCTTTCTCCTGCCCCCCAGATTCTGCCTGAAGCTAGGGCTGTGGGCTAGGCTAGGGCTGATGCAATGGCACCTCCACCCCACCCCACCCCCAATCCACTGTTCCTCTCTATCCCTTTGAATGCAACTGCTGTTTCCCAACTGCCATGGAACCGTCCACTGTCCCTTCAACAGGACATTATTTGGCTGCTGTTGTCACCCGGTCTGGCTCCAGCACAGGACATTGCTCCTTGCAGAGGGACACACCATTCCTTTTTGTTGTGCTGGAATGTGTGTGCACATTTGGCAGTAGGAGTGGTTTATGCTGCTTAATACTTGGGATGAGTGGGAACACTGCGCAGGAATCATCCTTCTGGATCAGGTGGACATAGCTCATTAGATGACCAATTTCCTGCGAGAGACAAGGTGGGGGAGATAATATATTTTATTGTACCAACTTCTGTTGGTGAGAGAGACAAGCTCAGAAGTGTGTATCTCTCAACAATAGAAGTCGGTCCAATAAAAGATATTACCTCCCCCACCTTGTCTCCCTAATATCCTGGGACCAACATGGCTACAACACACCTCAGAAAGACAGACAAAGCTGGCCATCAGAGACTCTCAAAGGACTTAACAGATACCATCCGAAGAAGTGGGCTGTAGCCCACGAAAGCTTATGCTCTAATAAATTTGTTAGTCTCTAAGGTGCCACAAGTACTCCTGTTCTTTTTGCGGATACAGACTAACACGGCTGCTACTCTGAAACCTACGGGATCATGATCCTGAGACGTGCTGAGCGCCCTCCACTCCGATTGACTTGACAAGACCCCTAGTGCCTTTTCTAAAGATGGGTATAACATTTGGTACCCTCCAGCCATCCAGTATAGCAGCTTTTTAAAAAATGCTGCAGCCCAACCTCTGCGACCCTCCCGCTTTGCAGGGTCCTACAGCCAGGGATCCAGCCCAAGCCCTGAAGTCTACACCGTAATTAAACAGCCTCTTAAACCCATCCCAAACAGCCTGAATCAGCCGCAGGTATCTAACTGCAGTGTAGCGGAGACATACCCTTTGAACGTATTGCTAGAGTTAGGTAGGAATCTGAGACTTCAGCGTAAGAGAGATTGGGGTGCTGGCATTGGGCTGGGCCCCAGGGGGATTGTAGGTAACAGACAAGAGGGGGCTGGGCTGGGTCAGGGGGATTGTGGGTAACAGAGAAGGGGGTGCCAGGGCTGGGCCCCAGGGGGATTGTGGGTAACAGAGAAGGGGACATTGGGGCTTGGCCTGGAGGATTCTGGGTAACAGAAAAGAGGGTGCTGAGGCTGGTCCCTGGAGGATTGTGGGTAACGGTGAAGGGGGTGCCATGGCTGGGCCCCGGGGGATTGTGGGTAACAGTAAAGGGGACATTGGGGCAGGTCCCTGGGGGTTGTGAGTAAGGCGAAGGGGACAATGGGGCTGGGATCCAGGAGGATTGTGGGTAAAGGCTGGGCCGGCCCCTGCTAGGCGGGGTCGAGGCTCTGCGTGCCGCAATCCGCGGCTTTCCGAAGGGGCGGGGCTAGCTGAATGGGCGGGGCAAAGGGGCCAAAAGGCGGGAGGGGAGCGGCGGGCCGGCTGTGATGTCAGAATAGGCGGGGCACGCTGGCGGGGGCGGGCTTGCGCGTGGCGGCGTCACGTCCCCTGCGTGAGGTCGTGGGAACCGGAAGCGCCGAGCGCCGGCTGGGTTCCGCGGGGCCGGGAGCTGGGAGCGTCTCTGGCGGCGCGCCCCGGCCTGGGTATCGGGTGGGCGGCGCTGGGCGGCGGGGCGGGCTCGGGACTTCGCTGGGGCAGCCGGGGCGGAGCCGGAGCTATGCCGGGGAGCGGCAACACCCGCCTGCCGGACAGGTGAGACCAGCTCCCCCGCTGGCGCCCTTCCCCTCTGCCCCGGCGTGAGACTCCTACGGGCCCCGGGGCCTGGTGGGCGGGGGGGGGCGGTTGGTGTTACCTGGAGCCCCTCCCCCGCCTCTTTCGAAATGGTGCCGCGTTGAAAGTAACCCCCCCCCCCACTAGGGAGCTCTTGGTGCCCCCTCCCTTGTCCCCTCCCCCCTCAGCTACTGGCCACTTGGCGCCTCGCTTTCCAGGGGAGATGAGGGACTTGAAATCCCCTGTTCCCCGAATCCACTGAGCTTCTGGGATCCTGCCCTAGCTGTGGGGGGTGACGGCTGAGACCCTTCAGGTGCATCCCCCATGCTATCCAGAGTGCCTGGGGGTGCGTGTAGCGGGCTGGACACAATAGTAACGGAGCCTTTGTCCATATGTTTCCTTTGAGAGGGTCTCTATGAATTGTATGAAATCATTGGCAGACTGCTATGAAATCAGGACACCAATAAGTTTTACTCTCACATTTATCACCTGTAACCCTGCGTTGAGTGCAAAATGCTGCCGGAGTTGTGGCTAGCATAGCTGCAGTGATTTGCATTTCTGATGACTATTTTACTACTTGTACATGTGCCCAATAGACTGTGGGGAAGGGGGTTTGAAATAAGTGTGACTTGGCCTGTTCTAGCTTTTTCCCTTGGCAATAAACTGATTTTGCAATATACAGCACTAATTTCAATAGCTGGGCCTAAATTATTTTTGAAAGGGCTCTATCAGTGACGCTAACTGATCTGGATTAGTTGACACACAGAAATTGGGATTTGGTAATACATCTGTATTTGTCTGTGCGAAGCTTTGCCAGCAGGAAGGAAATAAAGCCCAGTAAGAGGGAGGCATGGAATGAAGACAGAATGTAAAAGGCAAGGCCTTGTCTACACCACACAGCTTTTAGAAAAGTCAGCGTGTGTAAACGCTCTTTGTCAGTACTGCCGACAAAATACTTCCAGCCCTGCGAGAGGTGTTAGCTTTGTCGGCAGGAGAGTGCTCCTGCTGACAAAACCGCGTTAACACTGCCACTTGTGTCAGCAAAACTTGTCTTTCGCGGGGGGGGGGGCTTTTTTAAGTACCCGTGAAAGACAAAAGTTTTGTTGACAATTTCGCAGTGTAGACATTCCCCAAGATTCCTATGGGAAGTTGTGGCATTAATCATCACATCTCTCTTCTAGATGGACAGACTATCTGCCACTTGGACAAAGAATGCCGGGTACTAGGTTCATCGCTTTCAAAGTTCCTTTAAAAAAGGTAAGTGAAAGATGATTGAGTTTGGCCTCTTATGGTGTCGTTTCGGATCTGCAGTTTTTAACTGTAACAGAAAACATGGACTTAGTGATCTCAGAGCAGGGATTTTTCAAAGATGTTAGGGTTGGATGTGTTGAGGGGAGAACTTTATTCCAATGTGTACACTCTTTGAGAGGAACTTATCTGAACATTCAGGTGATTCAGAGCAGGTCTACACCACAGAATTCTGTCAGGGAATCACACCTCTTCACTCCCCATCACCAACAGCTGGCCAGCAGAAGCCTTTAGTGTAGATGCAATTATACCAACTACACTTCTATTGGTATAGCTTGTTTCACTTGTGTGGGGCAGTTTTATGATATCATTACAAAGCACAGCTTTGCCAGTATAACTGCATCCACACAAGGAGTGCTTTGCCCATATGGTGTACTGTTATTCCCATACTGGTAAAGTACTCCTGGTGTAGACGTGGCCTAAATTTGATTTATGCTAAATGAAAACACAAAGGAAAATTTGGAGATTATAACTTTTGGGGCTAGAAAATAAAAGCCTGATGGGACCATCACCCTTTCAAACTTCAGAAGAAGTAAGCTCAGAGTTAAAGCTACTGCAGTATCCTTTATATTGCTACTATTGTGCTTTGAGTAACAACTCATGGAGATTTCTCACCAAGCTTGTTGAACATGAGTGGCCAGATGTTTAGAGATGGTAGTCACCCATGGCTCTGAAAACTTGAGCCATAGGTGATTTTATGTGGCCTCTCTAGGCACAGTGGGGCTGGGGTTTTTTTGGAATCCTTCTGCTATAAAGTATTGTGGGATAGTGAGTTCCACATATGGAGCATCATACCATGGTAACTCTCATTCAAATGAATTTCATGTATCATTTTGATGGGCATCAGAGAGCTTCTTATAAAAAAAATTCTGACATAAATGTGGCAATCTGCATCCAAGCAAATTGTACCTCCATCACTTCAGCTGGAGTTTGGAAATTAAAAATAGATCATGATGTATTTGCTGTATGTTAAATTTAGCCGTTTGTGACAGTAATGTTGTTGAAAGATCTTTTTCCACTATAAAGATACATGTGTCTAATCACGCCTTTAAATATGCAGAACTGCCTTAGTCTGTAATCTAGTACATTTGATTCAGTAATCTGTCTGCCTTGATCTTTCTACTAGTCCCAATACTTTCAAATTAATAACCAGTGAATTATATGAAGGCTATTCCTGCTGGCCCACCTCATTCACCTGGAGTATCCAGCTACTAAGGTGTTTGTCCTCTTTATCAATATAAGTAGTAGCTGTTATTCCTCTATCAGAAATATCTAGATGATTCTGCTTTTAAGCCCCTTGTTGCCTCCTTGTGCTAATATCTCAGTTGCTATGCTGAGATTTTCATCTGTTTATTTCTTTACCATGCTTGCGTATTTAAAAATGCATAGGATGGTAAGCTTGTGAATACTGACAGATGGCCATATGATTGGCACCAGCAGCAACGTTCAAAGGTGAACCTCCACCTCTTTAGATGCATTTCTCTGCCATTTGTGTATCCTCTTAGGATTACTGTCAGATGCCTCTACAGGTAGAGAGCTCCAATCACTCTAGTGTGTGGGATTCTTGGAACACAGCTGAGCAATTTGATGCACTAATGTCAGGGAGAAGATGCTCTCAATAGATCACTATCAATGCGCTTCAATATTTAATGTATCTGCTTATACCCAAGGCCTCTTCCTGTTTGGTACCTAGATTCTGACACCATCTACCTTTTTAGGGGGTACACCATTGGGCTCTGGGTTGGTGGGCGATTTAAGTCTTTACTATGGTGGTCCCTAGAGTGCATGGGAACTCTCCCTCCCCAAACTGTTGTAAAGTGCCTTGAGATTCTTGTTTAGGGTGCTGCAATTGTGCACAATATACTATTAAATATTATTTCTCGCCAGAGTTTTGAATGGAGACTTGCCCCAAAAGACAGATTTTCTCCTTTTGACCTCCTTAAGAAAATTAGAGAACAGAAAGAAGAACTTGGCATGATCATTGATCTAACATACACAACGCGCTATTATGGACCGGAGGTAAGTTAGGATGCAACAACTATCGTAGGCCCCAATACTTCTGCGCTCTCACAGATTTTTCTGTGGGACGTTGAGCATGTCGGTTAGCCTCTCTGTGCCTCAGTTTCCCATCTCAGAGGCATTGGGAGGATTAATCCATTGAAAATTGTGAGACTCAGATACTGTAGTAATAGGGGTGGGGGGGGAGATTGTGCCTGTGTGGATCTGAAAGCAGGATCAGGGCCTAAAAATCCCCTCACTATGCCCAAGTGAATGAAGTGGACTTCAAATTTCTCTGAATATGGTGGACTCTGTAAGTGACTACATGTTACCATGTTCTGTCATTTCACTCTCACAGCACTGCTAAACAAAGGCTTCCAAATTCCAGTTCAAACTATTTATTGATGGCATTCATTACCTGGAAACAGTTGTTTAAAATACTCCCCTAGCCTTTCTGCTACATGCACTTTGTGTTTGTAAAAGACAGATGGGAAGGAAACCTGGGACAAATAAGAAACAATAGCAAAGGAATGTGTTGGTCAAAAATATTTTTGTTGGTACCTCACAGTTGTCACTAGGAGGACTAAGTGGGCTATCAGATCTTGCATCTTGGTAGTCACTTGTGAATCACTGTTACTAAATATGGGCTGTAAAGTCTCCATAATAGTCTAGTGTAAAACTACTCTAGTTCAGAACTCTTTATGGTGTGTGTTTTATTAGAGCCCTTGCATCAGTTCTGGTTCACTGTAAGAATTGTTTCAGGCAAATTTCACTCCATGTATTTATACATAATTGTATTTCAGCACTTCTGGGAGATGCATGGTATATCTGACAATATGGTGCTGTTGTAACTTACCTGAGTTATTGCGGAGGATTTCACTTACCAGACTAAAATCTCACAGGCACCCTTTCAGGTTTAGTTTTTAAACTATAGAAGCATTTGCTTTCTGTAAAGCACATGGACCCTTTCAGTGATAGAAATGTTTGGTTTTATGGTCCATACAAAAATGTGTTGGATTCCCCTTTGTTTTTTGTAGGAGCTACCAAAGACACTGTGCTACTCCAAGATCTTGACAGTTGGACATGAAGTACCAGATAACGAAACAATTTTTAAATTTAAATGTGCTGTGAAAGAGTTTTTATGGGAGAACAGAGATAACGGTGAGCACAGATTGCCTCTAATTCTTATTTTATCTTAAAAACTCCATTGTAATTAAAATGTCTTGAGCTATAATGAACATAATCTCTTGTAGATTTCAGTGTGCTGGGGAAATTCTCTTATAATCTGGTGTACAATTAGTTCCCTGCCTTTTCTAACCCATGTGGGTTTTGTCTCATCTTGGCATGTGAAGATCCAAGAGGATGTCAAGGCAACAATGCCAGTTGCCTTTGGCAGTAGCAGTAACATTGGATTCATGGTTAAGTGAACACGGAGTTCAAAAAAGAACTAGATAAGTTCATGGAGGATAGGTCCATCAATGGCTATTAGCCAGGATGGGCAGGGATGGTGTCCCTAACCTCTGTTTGCCAGAAGCTGGGAATGGGCGATGGGATGGATCACTTGGTGATTACCTGTTCTGTTCATTCCCTCTGGGGCACCTGGCATTGGCCACTGTTGGAAGACAGTATGCTGGGCTAGATGGACCTTTGGTCTAACCCAGTATGGCCATTCTTATGTTCTTATTAGTATAGTCAAGCACAGTGAGGTTTCATCTAGCACTAATAAAATTTTTGGACAAATTTATTTGACAAAAAGTGCAGTTTCGGTCAACTTATAACTGTTCGTGAATAAGGCTAAGATTTAGTCACGGGTATTTTTGGTAAAAGTCATTGACAGGTCATGGGCAATAAATAAAAATTCATGGCCCGTGACCTGTCCATGACTTTAACCAAAAATATCCATTGCTAAATCTTTACTTCTGGGGCCCTGCTGCTCCAGGGGGGCCTGCTCCAGGGCTGGGGGTTGACTGCCCCCGAGCCACTGCTCCCAGGGACTGCTCTCTGAACAGACTGAGTGCCCCTGGGGCTGCTGTTCCAGCGCCCCCTCTCCCCCCGCCCCCCGGACTGCTGGTGCTCAGGCGGTCCCCAGGGTACTCCCAGGACCGCTGCTCGGGTGCTCCCTGGAGCCAGCTGCCCAGGGCTGTCCAAGCAGCGGCTGGTGCAGCTGGCTCCGGGGCACTCCCCAGAACCACTGCTCGGGCGGTTTGTGAGACCAGCCGCTGCTCAGGTGGTCCCCAGAGCCAGCTGCCTCCCAAGCAGCGGCTGGTACATCTGGTCTTGTGGACCCTTGGGCCAGCTGCTCGAGCGGCCCTGAAGTCAGCCGCACCAGCCTCTGCGGAGGTTGCGGAAAGTCCTGGAATCTGTGATTTCTGTGACCTCCGTTAACGAATCGCAGACTTATTTGTGAATTTCACACCAGTAGTTGTGTCCATTTGTAAAATGGTTGGAGGGAGGAGGTGATGGAGCTGCTGCTGTTTCTACCCCCTTAAACCTTTAACCACTGTGCTAGGCCACTCACCTGGGATGTGACACCCCGGTTTGAATCCTGGCTGTTAAACAGTCCGTTGCAGGTCTGTGGTTCACCAAAAAAATCTTTAAAATATCAAATTCAATTCAACGTAAACCAAAATTTGTTCATTTTTTTTTGTACTGCCACCAAACTGAAAAATCAGTTAGTTACCCAGCTCTAATTTAATTTCTAATGTATGTCAATATCACTTCCTTACAGATACTGTGTTATATGCCTTATGTTAAGCATTAACCCAGGTTTACACTCATCAGAACTCTGCCATAAGGCTGCTCTTCATACTGTCTTTAAGTTCCTTGTGCGACGTGCCCATGTTTTCTCCTAAAGATTTGTGACTAAACTGTGTGACCTGACTGATTTTTATAAGCAAGAGTTGAATAATCAGTGATAATTAGCCATAAATGTGAGCTTGTCTTTAAGTACTGTTGTAGAGATGTTAATTTGTTTACGTTGGCGTAATCGGTGAATGACTAACAAATGTAATCAGATTTGCTTCCTTCTCCTTTCTGATGCCCACTGCCTGCCTGAAAATGAGCACTATATTAAAAAGCATAACTTGAATTTCCTGTCTCATAGATAAACTCATTGGAGTTCACTGCACGCATGGCTTAAACAGAACTGGTTACCTTGTTTGTAGGTGAGCTATCTTAAACTCTTGTAGTTGAGCTGTGCTAGATGGGTATTTCTCTAGTAGCACAAGGGATGGGAAAATTACTTATCCAATGTCTGCCTCACTATAGCTAATCCTGGTCTCTACTGTTAAGTGCACTGGTCAAGGGCCCAGTGACCATATAAAATCTTGGATTTCATGAACAGACCAGGATTAGAAATTCTCTGGGCAGATAAGTACAGATGCTCTCAGGGCATGTACGTTTTTTGTGAACGAGCCTTGGTATAGCAATCAGAAATTTACCTCTGCTGTAAAAGCTGTAAGTACTTTGATAGCCCATCATGGCCTGTAAATACATAATCTAAAAAAAGCATCCAGAGAGATAAAAGTTTGTCTTTCATTCTTAAGCATTATTCCCATAATTAGAGCTCATGTATTATGTTGCTCTGTTCAGGTACCTAATTGACGTTGAAGGCATGGAACCAAACGTCGCTATAGAGTGTAAGTATAAGGAGATCACTGTTTTTCCTGTTTCTTTTATGTGGCAAAACACTGGCTAATAGCTTGCATTCAAAAGGTTCTAGGCTCTAGGAGAGCTAGGAGGTTGGGTCTAGGAGAAGAGCGCAGAGGGAGAACTTGCAAGATCAGTTTTGCACTATAGAAAAATGTAAGATTGGAAGAGTGGATGGATAATAGAAAATGGGAGGGCAAAGAGGAAGAGGTTTATTGTGACGATGGATTGATTTTTGCTACAGTGCCCTTGGAATCCATCTTAAGCCAGACTGATGTCAGTGAATCCCTGGATTTGAAACCCAGGTGACTTATGGGTGGGAGTGCAAAGTAAATTGAGCAATGTTCCGCTCCATTGCCAGACCATCTCACTGCGTCTCTTACAGTAGAACCTCAGAGTTACGAACCCCTCGGGAATGGAGGTTGTTCATAACTCTCAACAAAACGTTACGGTGGTTCTTTCAAAAGTTTGCAGCTGAACATTGACTTAATACAGCTTTGAAACTTTACTATGCAGAAGAAAAATGCTGCTTTTAACCATGTTAATTTAAATGAAACAAGCACAGTTTCCTTACCTTGTCAAATCTTTCTTAAACTTTCCCTTTATTATTTTAGTAGTTTATGGTTAACACTGTACTGTATTTGCTATTTTGGGGGGTGGGAGGGTCTTTGCTGCTGCCTGATTGCGTACTTCTGGTTCCAAATGAGGTGTGTGGTTGACCAGTTCATAATTCTGGTATTCCTAGCTCTGTGGTTCTTCTTTATAAACAAGAGAAGACCTGCTCCGCCCAATGGATCATTCATACAACCATGAGCTGTCATCAAAGGGACATTATGTAGAAATGGAGTTGCACCTTGATGTTTTAAATGGCATCCCTTCGTTCCAGTCTGCATCTCTCTTCTGTACCTTAAAGGACATCTTCCTAATATCCAACCTTCCGATACCTATATGCTTAACCTGTGCTCATGTGACCCTAACTGAATTACTGGTAATAAGTTGGGGTGTGCTCAGTGTCAAAACCAAAGGGTTAAAATCATTGAGTTCTTTATTACTGCTAATATGGAGTGTCTTCAGTGCTTTGCCAACATATGATCTACCCCCTGTCCTGAGTAGCCTAGTGTAAAATATCTATGTATAATGGTGTTTTGTAACTTAACTCTTCCCTCCTCGTAGTGTTCAACAGGTCGCGAGGGCATTCTATAGAGAGGAAGAACTATATTGAGGACCTTCAGAAGGGCCCCATCAGAATGTAAGTCACTGTTTCGATATCTGTTTGTGTCTGGGTGCTAGAATGAAGAATTGTTAGCTCATGTCAGCTATTTAATGGACCTGAGTTTAGCTTTTTCGCTCCTGTTAGCTGATGAAGAAGCAGGGATCAGTGGATAGGGAAGCCAGGAGATCTGGGTTGTGTTCCACATTCTGCTGGTGACCTTGGGCAAGTCACTCTGCCTCCCAGTACCTTAGTTTCCCCATCTTTAAAATGGGAATCACACCCACCTCTTAAAGTGGTTTGAGGTGCAATTATCACTGAGACTGTAAAGAGAATAAAAACTTCCCTGCAACTTCATTGAGTGATTCTGTAGATTCGGGCTGAGCTAATGGAACATTTTTGTTTAAGGAACCATGCTGCAGATGGACTAGCATTTGATTTAATCAAAGGACAAAGCAGCATGGCACCAAATTTGGATTTCCAAGTAGCTGGACATCATCCGTATTCACAACAGCTCCCGCTGGCAGATGGCAGGTTGGTATTTAGTTTTCATCTGTAACGTCGGGGTCTGGTAAAGTGGATTGGATCAAGGGAAAAGGTATATTTTTGAAAGTGACAAAGGTAAACAGGAGCACAAGATTGCAAGCCAGGCACTCAAGTTCGAATCTTGGTCCCAAAACGCACTTTGTCTAGGAAGTGAGTTTAAACTCAGTTGCTAAGACTGTTTCAACCATAGTATGGACAAGACCTATCGAGCTGGTTGCTTCTGTGGCAATTATTTAAATTTTGCACTAGATACATTGTGGGAGGTGCATAATAAATGAAATAGTTTTACTACTCTAGGATACTTTAGCACAAAGAAGGTCCCTACCCTATGATTCAGACTTCAGTGACTCTTGTGCAGAATTGCCTTTGTCATAATAAGGCTGTAACTCTTCTTCTCCTGCTCTTAGGCTCTTCCCTTCTTGGCGAGGAAAGGAAAGAAAAAGAGAACAAAGGTAAATGGCTTCTTCTTTACTCCTGGGATGTAGGCATTTGCACTTCCTCCCATCAAGTGTCATGATATGATACCACATCTGCAGCTCCCATCTCTTAAGTAACCCTCTCTAGTCCTTGCTTCATGGATCTGTGGGTGAACTTCCGCTTCCTAAATCTTAATAGATTATTGGGCTGAATTTAATTCTTCCATAGTTCACGATTTGGGAGTTACAAAAGCCAACCAGATATGTTTGTAAGTTGAAAGAGATAAAAGTACAAGAATGCTCTTTAAGAGTTAATCTGTTACATAATACAGAACTGAACCTTCCAGTGTATGGTTGACAATCAAACGAAAGTGACCAGGGGAATGTTTCATAACCTTTAATTACTCCTTCTGGGCCAAAATATGGGGGGCCGGAGGGGGTATTCCTCCTGTTAGGACAAACTGGATGGGGTGGGAGGCAGGGGAATACTTCTGTGAAGACTTCTTGTGCTACGTTTGACTTGCGTAAAAGAGGTAGGCAGTAGCAATACTTGACCACCACTTTAGGGTACTGTAAAGCTTCATGTTTGTAAAAGATCTTAGCATTTTTCCTCTGAGGATCTATGTAAATGCAAAGTATTAAGAGACTGAGAGTCTTAACATGATTAATAGGGCCTGTCAAAGTACAATTGATGCCTCGCTAGTGCAGTTTATCTCTGGTGTGGCTTAGGAGCTTCAAGAGTTGAGATCTCATGAACAGCTCGGCCATCCAGGTAAATGACCTTGACCTTTCTCTTTCAGAGCCTTGTACCCTGTCAGGAATTTCCATGGGGTTTACGACAATGGGAGATCTGCTTATTCCAAGGAATGTGTCCCTACAGCCAACCTGGCCCAGCAAACACCGCCTTACCACTTGGGACCTGTCAACTACCCTGTTCCCCTACCTTATAACAAACAGTATAATGATTACAATGGACCATACTTTCCAGTGCAAAATCCTCATTATATACAACGGGAAATGTATAAAATGAAAACATCCAGCAGACCCAAAAGGAATCACTATACAAATTAATGTGAGGGGCTCATCTGGTGGAAGAACTTGATAGTGCGCTATATGGAGTCCACTCTATGTGGCTTTTTTAAATCTAGAAGCTTTATTCGAGAATGAGTCTTTTATTCATTCTAATTCCTTTGCTGTGGTGCCCATCGCTGGCCAATTGCCAGTCAGGAAACACAAAGGAAGGAATCATTAATTTTAATATTGAGACTGTTTTTAAGTTTTATTTTTCCTAACCACCTTCATAACAAACCCTCACCTTTTTACTGTATTGAAATATTGTGACATCCATGTTAAAATGACGTATCGAGTTCTAAATGGACACCCAGGATAAATATGGACCCAAACTGACTAGGTGGTTTCCATGAGAAACGTTGTGTGCATTGTTTAAACTCTAAGGGAATTGTGTTTTAAACGAATGCCTTCCCCTGCAGTTGTTTATAACCAAAGCATAGCATGGCAATACCTGGAAAGATAACCAAAGTGAAATTGAATAGTAGAGCGGGCCAGAGATCAGCCTTTCCATCCCATGAAAAAAATCTCAAATTTTTGAGAACTTTCATCCCAAAGATCAAATTAAAAAAGCTTCATGGGAAGGATAGACTGAAAAAATCCCACTTGATTGATTTCCCACAGAATTCTTTGGCTTGCTGCCCAGCTCCCTATGAAGTCTGATTTCTGGTTGCCTGTTTTCCATCACAAGAGCTGTCTAAATTGATAGGTTTCTACAGAATGTTTCAATGTTGATGAATTGGCATTTTGCCGAAGAAAAACCTTCAGCTGGAAAACTTAGGACCAGTTCTACTTAATAGCCTAATGTTTCCATTCTTCAAGAGGAACAAAATCTAGCATAATCATTTTCATTTTACATTGTTTTAAATGTATGTTTTTAACCTTAGTAGTCTCCTAAATGTAACAGGTGAGGGACTGGATGGCTCTAGGAAGCCTGAAGGTTGGTTGTTCAGATCCAGTTCAGATTGAAATTGAATGTCAGCAAGGTCATTGCTCCTTATCCGCTACCCATGAGACAGGTGACTGTTGCAGACCACCATTGTTATCACTCTATGTGGCAGTCTCACAGAGGCCAAGGACGGAAGCAGAGACTCCCTCCTCACCGCAGAGCTGATCAGTGTGGAGACATTTATGTTTTATTTATGTCCATGAGACTTGTATTAACTGTTCCTGCTCTGTGGAGAAACTGAGGAGACTGATCTCCATTCAGCCTGGCACCTCATTTTACTAGCACTACATTGACAAGGATGTTCAAAGCAAGTTGCTCGTGCCCATTTAGTGAGGCTAACATCATGGTCCTAGTTCTGTGAGAACATGGAAAGGATAGTGTCACTTAAGCTTTGTCTTCACTGCTTAAAAAGGGGATTTCTTTGCAGCAAGATGATAAATGCAGGGCAGTTCTTACTGCAACATTCTAAGTGGAGACCAAGGCACTTGTGTTTTCTGTGAGGTGGCCAGGCGAGGTCTGCACTGTACTTCTACGTGGGGTTAACAGCGCCGAGTTTACCTCACAGTAAAACTGATGTGCCTTGTTTTTTTTTGTTTTTTTTTGCAGCAGAGTAGGTAATGCATGTTATCCTATGAGAAAAGCAACTTTGTGTCAGTGAAGACAAACCCTGAGGGTGGGTTTGCTCTGTGAATTAATAGCCAATGTGTCCTCTACCAGCAACAGGATTCTGAATCTGGCATGATTGATTCTTGCTTAGGATAACTTTGCTGATGCACACTGAAAGCTGCTCTAAATTAAAGTGTGTTCATTCCAGGGCCATAGTCCTTGAATAAGAGAAATCAAGTCTTCTCCCTAACCTAAGAGCTTCAGGTGGACAGGATTGCATGTGCCTTGGCATCATGATTTCATTCCTTGTTCAGTTGCTGGCTGGCTTATGCAGTAAAGCCCCTCACACTTAGACTATCTGAGAGCAAGAATTGACCAGTGGTGTGGAAGGTAAGTCAACACAGTCTGCAGCTTCCTTAGGAATATCAATTCTTGTATTTGTTATTCACATCTCCGTGGAGGTATTATTTGCTGCAGTCAGCGAAAGTGTGTTTTAAATTGGAAGTAAAGTTTAAGCTTAATAAACTGTATTAATGAGCTCCTGAAGTGCTTCATAAACTTCTTGTGCATTTTATAAATGACTCTAGCTAGCTCTCCCTTGCTTGCCTTTGAGGTGCAGCAGCTTGTAATAAAATGTGGCTTGATTTAAAAGGTCAGTACCTTTCCTCACTGGTGTGGTTTCTATTCCTGGCTCTTTCTGATTTGCTGTTTGACTTTATACTTAACTTGCCTGTGCCTCATTTTCTTTATCTGTAAAACTGGGGTATTTCCCCACACACATCTTTGTAACATTACTTTAAGATCATTGGATGGAAGGAGTTAAGCAGCTAGCTCAGGCCTCATGATTTTTGTGCAGGATGTTGGTGTTCGGAGTTTACTGTGCAGGACAGCTGGGATTGTTGTGAGAGAATGATACAAAATAAAACATTTTTGTAAGGAATACACTTGGCTCATGAGCTTTAACCCAGTGTGACATATAGTGCCCACTCAAGCAAAGAATGGCATTTATGGTACAAATCAAGTATGCATTTGCAGGTCTCTTGGGTAGGATGTTTTGTTGAACGATGGGACAAAGTCCTTTTATGTACCGAATATGGTGCTAAGAGGTACTCTTTCAACATGTGTCATGCAGCATGGAGAGCCTGGCTTGGGCACGTGGTTTAGACCTTGCCCTTGTACATGGCCCTGGGTGGCTGGAATTAAACACCAGGTCTTTGGCAACAAGGACACCAGCCCCTGCTGCTGCCTGAGCTATCAGGGGAGCTGTGACGTTGTTGCAGTCAGGGGGGGCACAAGGAGGGCAGCCTCTGTCCAGGCAGGGCTAAGCCCCTAATACACCCCACCTTATGCCCCTGACAGGTCGCGGCCCCTTTAAGAGGCTACTCCCCTCTCTTACCCCCCCCCCCCGGTCTCATAACAGGCATGATTTCACTTCCTGTCCCCATGCCTATACCAAGATGGCCGCCTCCCAGGACTTCCGGCCGCTGCCACGCCCCTCCCCCCCATTGTTCCCGGACCGGCCAATAAAGGTTGTCGAGAGGCTAAAAGGCAGAGACGCCAAACCGGATATCGGCGGCTCAGTGAGAAGACCCGGATGCGGAGAAGCCGTCTGGTTGGCTGTTGAGAGCGAGGCTGGCCCGCCCACGCCAGGCCAGAATAGAGTTTATTCAGAAGGGGCGTGGCCCGTAGCCCAGATCGAGGCTGAGGGAAGCCCAGCTACCCGGAAGTGGAGCTGGTGATGGGCAGCTGGCGCCGCACCCCCCTCCTTTGGGCTGAGAGGACCCTTGGCCCATCGAGCTGCAGGTCAGGCCCTGTCCGCGGCGGGGGGCTCCGGGGTGAGGTTGTCCCTGGGGGAGGGGCGCTGAGCAGACCCCGGCCCCGCCCCATCTCTGGGGCTGTGGGAGGTGTGAGACCCCTCGCCCTGTTCCCATTGCCCAGGAGATGGGACCGGCCACCTTGCGACGGACGGGGCCTTTGCTGAGCCCTCAGGGGCCCCTGCCCCCTAATCGTGCTGACAGCTGACTTGCGGGGGCGGGCGGCCCCTACCCTGGGGCGTGGGCGAGTCTGAGAGCTGCTGGGCCCCCAAACAGGGCTGCCACCAAAAGACAACACTGGGGTAGCCTGGGTGATCCATAGCCCCCCATCCATACCCCCCACGCTGGCCGGCGGGCAGTGTGTGCTGAGCACCTTTCAGGTTTCCCAGGGCGGCTGCCTCAAAAAAGGGGATGATCCTGGGAAAACCAGGACAGGTGGCGACTCTGCCCCCAAAACGTGGGTGCTTGTCCCGAAGGCTGTCCCTGTCCTGTCTCTTATGCCTGTGGTGAGCAAGCTGTGTCTTATTGGGCTACCTAAACACCACGCTCTCTGTTAGTGGTGGCTTGCTGAATGGCTCCAGAGTTGTAGTTAAGTGGAGGGGAAGGTAATATGTTATGTACTGGCAAGTATACAAGCGCTTGCTGCTGTAAAGGCGTATTCGTCTATACAGGGAAGTGGGCTTCTAGTGAGCTGAAACTCCCTTTATAGTAAAGTTGGATGAAAGCCCTGAATAATCAGTGGATTGCGAGGTGCAGATTGGAATTTGACCCCCAGAGCAAATATGTGGGAGAAATGATTTCACTATAAGCCTGGTTCTGCAGGCGCTGAGCAGGGGCGGGACGGAGTTCAACTCTGCTCCTGAACAGTGGTTCCCCTTGTTCTTGTGTGATGGAGCTCAGCACTGTGCAGCCTTAGGTCATGAAAGTGGATTCCACTGTCTTATGTTTATAAGATGAACAGCGTATATGATGTTTGTTAAGGGCCAAATCCTACAGCCCTTGTTTAGGAAAAATTCCCATTGAGTTCACTAGGCATATTGGCAGAGTGAGGATGAAGAACTGCAGGATTTGAGACCTTCGAAAGGGGCTCTTGCATGAAAGTAAAGCTGGAAATGATACTTCTTTTGCCTGTAGCCCTTCACATCCCCAGGTCCCTGTTGTATCTGATCAAGACCTTTCCCCTTGTTTAGTGGGAGGATGCAAGAAATCATAATGCAGTGATGATTGGTGGCAGTCACGTTGCTGTGGGATTTACAGGATGTTACAGATCCAGCACTATGATTTCACTGAAGGTTTAACCCATAAACTGTCTAGTTCCCAGTGGGTGATACTTGGAAACTGTCTGCTTTTAGGAGTTCAGGTGGCTAGCACCCGTCTGGGAGCAGAGAGGCCGGTCTCCATCAACAGGACGGTAAGGATTCTTGTGTGAAAGCGTTCCATTCTGCGGTGCTTCCTGAACCCTCTGCAGTGCTTTCTGCCTGCAGCCTGCCTCAGGCTCCTGAAATTATCATTGGGAACCAGAAAGGAGGTGGATGGTCACTCGGGAACGTGTTTGAAGGGGCCCTGATGGGAGGAGAAGGTAGAATCTGGCATTGCTAGGGTGAAGAGGGTGTTTGCAGGAGCCAGGGGGGGTTGGATGGGGTACTGTGCTTTCTGGTTGTTAGAGGGAGATTCTGCGGATTCTTGCTTTTATTTAGTTATCATATATTCTGTGGCAGCCATTGCCATGGAATCAGAACACTGTATGAGAATGTATCACTTACCTGTAGCTAGGGTGACCAGACAGCAAATATGAAAAATGGGGACGGGGGTGAGGGGGTAATAGAAGCCTATATAAGAAAAAGACCCAAAAATCAGGACTGTCCCTATAAAATCGGGACATCTGGTCACCCTACGTGTAGCAGACACGCCATAACCTAGTTTCTTACAGCGAGTGGGGGTAGGTGACTGATTCTTCCTCAAGTGTCTTGAGACACCATTGTTTACGGGGAAATGCTTGTTTAAAGGGGCGTCTTGCAAAACAGCCAGTGGTGGACAGTGGTGAGATTCAGGCTGAGTCTGATCTCCCCTGAAAACTTGAATCTGGGTAATTGGGGCTCAGGTAATCACGAATGAATTTCTGCCCCCAAATCAAAAATGCATGTATCTGAAAAGTGAAGCTCTGACGAGAGCTTGGCTTCTCCTAGGGTTCCTCCCACAGGACTGCTCAGCCCAAACCCTATATCCCCTTTCCTAGGAAAGCCACTTCCACCTCCCTTATGTCCCGGTGAGGATATGTCCCTGATAAATTTGGATGTAGAGACTATACCGGGATAATGTCTATTTCCATGCATTGTGTTCATTCTCTCCAGCCCGTTGGCCCTCATGCCTGACCACACGGATGTCAGCCTCCTTCCGGAGGAGCGAGTCAGGAGGCTGATCCAGATGGGGAGCTCTGTGGAGGTGAATGAGGATGTCCCGCCACGGCGATATTACCGTTCTGGGCTCGAAATCATCCGCATGGCGACAATTTATTCTGAGGAAGGCAACATTGAGCGCGCCTTCATACTGTACAACAAGTATATCACGTAAGGGCTCCTTTGCTTTGCATGAGGATAACTTACTGTAAGCTCTTTGGGGCTGTTGTCTTATTTTGGATGTCATGCACCATACGTTACGATCCAGGAGTGACTAGGAGTCAGGAGAGCTGGGGTCTGTTCTGTTGGGCAAGTCGCATCCTTGCTCTGTGCTTCAGTTTCCCCATCTGTAAAATG